TAGGACAACATCTTCAGGAAATTTGTGTTTTCCTGTCCCAATCAGTGGCATGGCCACAGACCGTGCTGAAAGCTGATTACAATCCAAAAGAATTTTAAGAAGAAGGCTGCGAAGTGTCTGAAGAATAATAAACATACTAGTTAGTATACATGTTCTAGAATGTTGGATGCCCTAAAGTGATCTGATTGAGTCAGAATCGATCACAACGTGGAGTTCATAATGATTGATTAGATCGTTTAGATCACGCAATACATATCCTTGAATGAGAGCTGCCCCTGTACGCTAGTTCTCAATGAAGTCTCAGTGACCTGCTTTTCTACATAAGTAACTGCTGAGTCAATGGTTAAGCTAAGGATGGTTAGACCATGCAGACGTGCTGTAGTAAATGTGCTTGAATGTGAACAACCTTAGAGTGACCCAAACATAAAAATATGCAGTTAGTTGAACCTATATTACTTACTTGTTCAGCTGTGCCTCCAGCATTCCAACCACAGCACACTGCATGTATGACGTAATGACATGGGAGATTTCCACCAATGGTGGTCGCAATATCCCCAGTCCCAATATTAGTATGCTGATTGCACGCGGCGACATAGGATAATCCACCAACTGAATTCAATACTTTTCCGACCATTGTTGGATGGTTGAGATCAGAGACTGCAGAGCTGACCAGAATATCAGCCTGGATATAAGGTAAGATAGTAGTATTATAAAATTATACAATGAACAAAACTGTAGTTACTTAGTCTGATGTATGCAGTTAGTATTCCACAATAATCTGCTGTCTACCTCCTCCGCAGCCCATACAACCCGTAATGAGAATGCCCGTTCGCAGGTTGTAATTTGAAATTTGAGACGAAGGCTTGCGTAACTGCATGTCGATTACTTGGCTTATATATATATATATATATATATATATATATATATATATATATATATATATATATATATATATATATATATATATATATATATATATATATATATATATATATAAATATATATATATATCGAAAAATGTTAAAATTGCAACCAGTGGAAGACATCTTTTGGAAGCTAAAAATAAAGCTTGGAAGGTTGAAACTGGTTAAAAATTTATTTTAAAAATATTAAAATATCGGAAGACGTTTCGGTCAAACAACTAAGACCTTCGTCGGTTCTACTAAAACGATAAAACTACGTCTATATTATATAGGTTACAAACAATTATGCTAAATTGCTACTAATTTGTTCAAGATAAAAATAAATATCCGGAATGTCATTAGGACCGTACTAAAGTATGTTAATTGTTAAAACTGAAAACAATTGTAATCTCAGTAATGTCTTAACGAACACAATTATAAATACGTTAACTGGTATAGAACTATACAAGGCAATTGTAAATCTCAGGAATGTCATTGTGATCATTTCCCGCATTGGCTTGTCTTAGAGAATGCCACGCTTCAAGGAACAACCTTTTGTCATGGTCTGGTTCACGATCGACGATTTTGGTATTTTCAAAATCCATTTTGTGAAGGTGGGTGTTTGTGTGTTGCGCTATTTTAGAATATTCATCGTCGTTTTTCACCGCGTTTTTGTGCTCTTTGATTCGAGTTTTCAGAGCTCTATCTGTTTGGCCAACGTAAACAAAATCACAATCTTGACAGTCAATGCTATAAACCACAGATCTTGTTTGGTCTCGGTCAATTCGGTCCTTTGGCTTTGGGAAATGTTTGCGTAGGGTGTCAATCGGTTTATAACTCACATTAAGGTTTTCTCGTTTTAATGTTCTAGAGATTTGCTCCGACACGCCTTTAATATACGGTAATGTAATGAACTTTGTTTGCGGGACTGCGGAATTGTCAGCATCAAGGGGGCTTGTTTTTCCTTAAGTCTGCGATGTTTGTCACACTGTTTTATAAACTGTTTGGGGTAGCCATTGTCCATAAGCACATTGAAAACATGTTTACGTTCCTTTCTTTTTCCCGAGGTAGAAGTCGGAATATTATCTGCTCGATTGAGTAAAGAATTAACGACAGAACGTTTATGGGTAGTGGGATGGTGGGAATTAAAATCCAAGTATTTGTTTGTGTGTGTAGGTTTCCTATAGACGCTGACTTGTATAGTGTTCGTGTTGTCTCTGGTTGTCATAGTGTCTAGGAAAGCAAGTTTGCTTTCCGTCTCCTTTTCCACAGTGAACTGTATATTAGGATCGATGGAGTTTAGGTGATCATGAAACTCACTGACATAGTCTTTGAGCAAACATGTGTGGCTATCGTCTACGAAACGAAACCACCAACGTGGCGGATGTGGGGCTGTCGTAATGGCTATTTCTTCAATGTGTTCCATGACTATATTCGCTAATGTTGCACTTATTGGGGAACCCATTGCACAGCCAGAAATTTGTTGATAATGACAACCATCGTGTTTGAAATAACTGTTTCGTAATACGAACTCTAGTAGTTTTATAATATTGTTTATAGATATGTCTGTACGAGTTGTGAGATTATTGTCTTGCACTAGTCTCTGCTTGACCACTTGCAGGGCTAATTCAATTGGAATAGATGTAAAAAGCGAAACCACATCGAAGGATACCATGATGTCTTCCACTGGTTGCAATTTTAACATTTTTCGAATTATTCATCATGTTCATGGTTCAAATGTTGTGAAAATTGCTAGAAATTTGGAGAAGAAATCTGTAAATATCTTTAAACACAAAGAACATCTGACGTTCAATCATACTTTGAAACGAGCAGGCGTGCTTCCAAAAAGCTTACTATTCAATCCACCTATAAAATGTAATGAAGGATTCAAGATCGCTAAAAAAGCTGGCTGGAGTTTTTTACGACTCCGCATCCAACATAGCCATCAAAGAATCATTGAACTGGAAAAACAAAGAGACAGTTATGCTAATACTTTGACAGATATTCTTTCACCCGAAAACTACGAGATTCTCGGTAATGTCGTCGCACACAATTCTCATTCAGCTAGACAAGCAGCAAAAGAAAGACATCAACGTAAGTTACAAGATTTGGGGATATCAGACACCCACAAAGGAGAAGTGAACAAAGACCGTTGGGTCATAAATCTGTCGAAGCGACAACTTTCCCACCAAGAGCTCACAGTCCTACGTAATGGTTTGAATTTTGCTAGTACGCCAAAAACCATCCCTATAGCACATATCGTAGCAAATATAGAGAAGGGAATCAAAGAACTTCCTGGTAAAACCAAATCATCGATTCGTGCATCTGTTGCTAACATTTTAAGACATGGCAAACCACCCGCAACAAAAAACATGTCCGATCAGCAAAATTTAGCTATGAAAAGGTTAAAACGAGACCTCTCGATTCAAATTATATCTGCCGATAAGGGAACGGCTATAGTTGTAATGAACAAAGACGATTATCAGCATAAAATTAACTATCTTTTGGATGATCCCACAATATATTTAAAAATAACAGACAAACGTAGGAACCCCACATCTAAAGTTGAAAAAGATATGAATAGTCTTTTAAGAGAGATTAGATCGCAACCAGCAACATATAATCAAGAAACAAAGCAAATT